TTGATTTTATACAATTGATCATCATTGTACGCGTGTATTAAAATGAGTATTGAGCTCATGTCTTGTACTCAGAACGAGCTGATTTTTTTAAAAGAGCTTAAGTGCATTGATCTACAAGGTTTCTTCTATAATAGCCATTAAGGAGTTTGCCATTTGAATCTTTCTCGAATGTCCATCAGTCGCATACATTTTCATTGAATTTTTTTTATTTTTAGAAAATATAACACTATATGGAAATTATATTGATTGTGGTATTTGCGACTTTTGTGATTATGATTACAATTCTTTTCTCGAAACATGAATCTTAAAACTTTATATTAGTTTCTTATCCGGTTGAACAAGGTATTCGGCAGAGGCAGCCATTTTTTCTTACATTTTTACAAAATTGACAGAAAACTATACAAGAAATAGTAAGGAAAAGTCTATCTGAAATTTGAAATCTGATAACATGTATTTCCCACTGACCCACTGCAAGTATAATTGAGAATATTAACTTACAACGAAGTGAGGGTATTTTCAAGTTTTTGCAAAGTCTTTTTCGATAATTTGTTTCTTAGAGCTACTTTCTCTCCAAGCTACTTAGAGTAGTATATTTTTATTTCAGAAGTATTCCAAATATGAACGAGAACAACTAACTTTTTAGCATCATTTTCAATTCTTCCATCAGTTTCTGGCCTATGACAAAGTTGATTAGTTTCAGTATTGGGGGCTCAGTATCAGAAGCTGCCTCTGTCTTACTTTTTCATTTATCACACCATATAATTTTGAGGTGACTAAATCGGATTTTTATATCATGAACATCATATTTTATGTTCATATGAACGCTGGAACATATCTAGTGAGTATTTTTTTCCAGCAAGTTGCACCCGTATGAGCTTCTTATTTCACACTTCTTGTTCAACATTCAACGTTAATTTCGCTTTTAATTACTTCCATGTTGTTCAATTAGATTATAAAATACGTGACAGTCCTGATTTAAACGATGAGAAACAGAACAAGTTTAAATTATTTGCCGACTTGTTTTTCTAATTAGTATTTCAAAAATGTGCGTACGAACCGATGGGTTTGACGCTGGAAATATAATTTTAAAAACTCTTTGAATGACAAAGCCGAAGAAAAGTATCACTCGCTCCAAATGCTAAGTTTAAATGACCTTTTAGTTTGAAAGAACGATAGTTTCAATATCTAGTAGTAAATTGGGGTTTATTTCTTAACACCATTTGACTAGAGAACTTTGCTTAAATGTACCTGAACTCCGAAGAATCATTCGTGCATCCTTAGTGTTGCCTGTTTTGTGTAATTTATGTGTTATTGAGTCTTTTTAAATAGCTTTCATTACGAATGGGTTGAAATTGGTTAAACTTCAATACATGGTCTCGCCTGGAGACTGGAAAATACAACGGCAATGAAGAAAATTGATGAAGTTTGTGTGAAAGCTTGACGAAAAATTATAATGGAATGTTACATCTCAATTCGTTTCACATACGTTGGAGAATGAAAATTCAAATTAAAGGTCTTATTTATAAAATTCTTGACTGCGCCTAGTTTTCTTCATATTACCAACTAAAAGCTCTTACGGTTTTCGCTGTTCTTGATGGTCAAATTATACCCATACGGGGACAAATTGTAGGATTAAATTGAGTTGTTTTTGATACAGCTTCAGTTTCATAATTGCCAACACCTGCTACGTTAGAATTCAGTTTCGTTTTCACTTCCGCCACTGCTGCCTAGCAGGGAGGCCACTTCGATCAATACTTCGTTGCTGCACGTCAAATCCGCCTCCCCTTGGGGGAAGGAAAAGGGGAAAACAGCTATCCCACCGGACAAGAGATGCACAGCTCATCGGGACTTTCCTGTCGTTTTTTTCCATAATTTTTTTCGCTGCCATGAATTATTTATGATCAGAGGTAGAATTATAATTTTATAAACGTATATTCCGCTTCAAACACGAATAGGAACTCATTGAATCCACCTGCCAAAGCTGGAAATATCTAGTCAGTCTTAGTTTAGCCTTGAAAAGTTTCCATCTGCATGAGTTCTGATAAAAGAACAACATGGAATTACACTGAGGTGAGACCAAAAGATTTCTCAATGAGATCGAAGAAATGTTTCTCAAGCTTAAGATAAAAAAATGCTTTGTTCTTATTTTACAGGATATAACGCAGCAATTCGAATTACCAATTGACATAATTTGGCAAATAACATGTTTGCAAATATCTTCCAAATCTGCTATTAGCAACTTTATTATTTGAAAACACATTTGATTAAAATACAATAACTTGCCACACTATATCTAAACAATCGGAAACAAGATTTTTACTTTATATTATATTACGTATATTCATTTATCCTGCATCGAGTAGCTGAAGTGAAAGAAAATATTATGGAAAGGCTACGCTTTTATCAAAAATTACATCTAGCGCTTGGTGAACTTTTATAAGCTTACAAGATGTTCACTCGGTTTGTAAATTTTGTATACGAAGTAATACAGCAGGAGACTATTTCTCGCAACTTCGAGAGTAAAATTGACACTCGAATGTGAATTTTTGTTTTATTCTGTGTTCCGATTCTTTGGCTTTATCTGTTACATTTTCGTACAACATATGTCGAGCAAAAAAATAACCGACAATTTGTCTTAGCAACTACAGAACATAAGTATTTGAAACTTTTTCCTTCCTAAGTAAATTTTTATTTCAAAAGACCTTAATTGTTAAATTATGTAAGCACTCAAACACTCGGAAGCCCCTATTTCGACCGCTTAGGCTTCTTTAAATTCTAATGTGTTTCAACTCCAAAAAAATTAAGTAGATCAACTTGCCAGTTTTATATTTTTATAGAGAAATATACATTTCATTTAAAAATCTTATATATTGTCGTAGCCCAGTTTTGGATCGTTATTAATTTTTAGACTGTCGAATAGCATTTGAATATATCAATTTTCGAAGGCATGAAACGTTCAATATTCTTGCCTCAATATTGATCTTATATATTATTTTTCGAATATATAACTCCAATAAGAATACACACCAGGGCTCCTTTCTCTTTAGAAATTTAGAATAAAGTGTTCATTTTGACTTTGAATAAAACAGCTGGAAAACTTTACAATTGGTTTCTTATTAAACCAAAATGACATTTTTTGCACTTTTGTTATTAAATCAATCATAAATATCCACCTAATTGTAATCTAATATCAATGTTTTATCTTCGGCCGGTTATTCGAATATCACTTTGCGCTTTGGTGATATAAATCACGTTTAGTTATTAAAATTTATTGAAATATCCAAATGTATTCGAACAATTTTACTTTTAAATGCGAAGTTTCAACAGAAACTTTCAGAATTTTGTAGGAGGAAAAAATCTGAATAACATTCTTTGCATCCGATTTAAATAATGTAACTTTCGAATGTATAAGTATACAGGCGTCTATGCATATCTGAGGATTTTCATTCAATTGTTGCATAACAAACAACTTTTTAATTCTTTCCGGGACCTATACGTGAAGTCAGCGTATAAAAAATTTCGAAAGTACTCAAAAACTTTTGTACAGTATAATTATCTTCAATTTTCTGACAAATCTCATGCTATTCCGGAAAATGTGCAATTAAATATAATTTACTTCGCCTATTTATGGAGTAACTGTAATTACGAAATACCCTATTTGAGTTTACGAATTGTCATTTATTTTAATAGTGTCACGATTACTACGGTTCAAATAATTATACCTGCAATGAACTTACACACGACAATTTTTCAAATCAAGTGATTACAATGTAAGCCGCCGTTATTATTATTATTAACACAGTACTATTTTGATAACTCTTTTAATTAGATTTTCTATTTCGTTAGGATTCAATTAGTAAGTTGAGTACCTATTACGTATATATTGGCTCGGTCCGGCGCATTTTTCTCTCGAACCAGTTTGCGAATGTTCGTAGAACTCTCTTAGTTCTAATAATTATAAATAATTTTTGGACTTTATGCAGGGAGGTTTCCCCATCGTTAACTTTTATGTTTTTTTTTGTTGACTATTCGAATCGACAACATCCAATTTTAATTTTGATCGTTCCCCAATTGGAGGTAACTTCCTCCGGTATTCACCAAATCAAGTTAAGCCAGCAACACTTCAATCCCAATCCCTAAAAAGTTTGATTCTTAAACACACTCTAAATTCCCACAGATTCGCGCAAACTTTTTTGCCATTAAACGCGATTGGAAATAAAACACCATGACTGATGGGATTTACAGAATTTCGTGGCGTGTGATTGAATAACGAGATTTGTTCTCCTTGGTTGACTTTCTATATCAAAGATGGAAACTTTCACACCCTCCAGCAAAAGGGATATATCCCTTATATATATTTTTTAAAACGAACATTTTGCGCCATCCCATTTTATCTTCAGTTAGCTGGAGGCTGAATGCATAATGTATGTTTTAGTTTCACATCGGATTTGTTTATGGAATTCTCCGACACGCTCAGAAGCATGTATGGAAATTGTTTTCAATGAAGCTTTCAATGTTGCTTCTGTGATAAACATTAATCTGAATTATTTATAGGGGCTCAATCTCATTTCTAAAGAATCCGCACGTCTAAACCGGCTTAACGGAAACTTTCTTTGATTAGAGCGTTTTTAGTTATACAGCGTGTTTATTTTGAAGTTTGCTTCCAATTTCTGTCCATTTAACAGACTAAATTCTCTTTCAAACAACTGGAGTAAATATATGCGTACGAGAGGTAACATTTCTATTCTGTAATTCGGATTTAAAATGCAAAAAACAAAAAAAATATCTCCATTATTTTTGTTTGTGTATAAAGTCTACCTATCTGAAGGATTCGAGCAGATGAACACATTTAGATATTAACTGGCTTCTTCTTTCTTAAAATAGCTATAAAATAAATTTAATTTGAATGAATGTCTCAATAGGCGCTTTTAAGTCTCAAGAGATCTATTTGTATAAAAGGTGAAAAATATTATTAAAACTAATTTATGAATACTTTTCAGGTGGTCAATGATACAAGAAGACATGGCGGACAGAATGTTACCGGAGGTACGCATTTTAGTATCATTATCATTATACAAAAATGCCTTGTTAACTGACTCTAATCTCCAAAACGAGATAAGTATGTCCATTTTTATTAAACCCCGCTGGATGATAAAAAAAACCACTTTATACTGATAAATCAGCCCCCTTCGCTCGGTCATTGGCGTACGAAATACTCAACTTGGAAATTAGTGACTTACATACATTTCATTGACTTGTTCACTTCAACATAAGATATGTAGAATTTTTCGAAACCTTTCATTAATATACATCAGAAGCGCTTACTGGTGCAACTTTAAGGTGCTACTTACAAAAAAATAAAATTTTACAAATCCATCTGTTCAGACCAGCTAATTTTTTGATAAGTAGAGACTTTACTTAAACTTGCTGCATAGTCTTTTTGCTATCAGTTCACCTTTAACGACAATGAAATTTGCTCGGAACATGACCTTCACATAATGAAGTTTTTCTGGCAAACTTTTCGATCGATTTTTTTGATTTGCTTGCTTTCGTGCGCTTTATTGTAATTCGGTTTTGACGAAACATTATTCTTGATCCTAGTTTAAATGGATACAATTACGTACATTCAGGCAAGTTTTTCTAAGTTGTTTGAACCAAATTAATTCATTTATTATGCATGTTACACGAACTATGTCTGCTTCTAAAGACTTCTCGCGTGATTGATTTATTCGAATTTCGTATTCATTTATTAAGCATTCGTTCATTCGATGGATGACTCTAAAGGATGCAACTAAACCGAAAGGTTGTGAATAAATACATAACACCAACCACTTTCCAATGGATTATTAGATCTGACTAATGTCGATTGGATCCTAAACGGAATTTTTCAAACAGTATTCTCTCATAATCTCATATCGCATAATTATTGCTCGATCACGGTCGTGCATCATTATAACCAATCATTTCCATTAACTAACACCATAAAAGTGTAAATCTCTATTATGCAAAGTGAATTTTCCAATTACGGTGCTAGCAGCAGCATGACTAAATGGATAAAATGGAAAACAGGAAACTGAACGGGGCAGACGTTCGAAAACGAACTCTGTTAACAGCATAGCCAATTAACCGGACCCTAACTTTCCTTTCTGATAGAACTGACAACGTTAAAAACTCCTTTAATTGTGTTAACAGGCATTTTGCATTATTTGGCTAATGACGTCCGTTTTTTCAAAGCTGTAATTTCGTTCTCATTAGCGAAGATAATTTATTCCGAATTTTCTGCTCAGTAGTCCAGGATTTCAAATTCATCTTCTATCTTGCTTTATTCAAATACGTTGATGAGTTTCAATTTGAGCTCTTTAAACAGATTGAGTTCTTTTAAATCTCATTGTAAAAAGTCATCATTATTCGTTTCAACTTTCTCCTCTCCTTATATATTAAGTCCTGCCAAAGTGTATCCAAATGTCTTGGTGATACCAGCTATTTGTAATTCTTAATTTAAATAGCAACTTCAATGTAAAATCAGTTTTTATCTCTTGTTAGACTTTTTCTTCGTTTATTATTTCTTTTTTTGTTTTCATGCATTGTTTGTTTGTTTGAACCCTAACGAGTGTTATGCGAGTGTTTGCCATTGTGTTATACCGCAGTATTTTTAGCGGCCTCTCCTTATTCTTTTCGACTACCTACTCTTGCTTGACAAATCATTTTCATTGGTCTTTCACTACCCATTTTGGAAAGGTGGTCTAACTATCCGATTTTTTTACCTTTCCTTACGCTTTCATTGGTTTTTATATTTTTTTCTAGTGACTCCCTCCTTTCAGATATTTATATATTGGTTATCTCATCTGCTCCTCGTCTATCACGTTTGCCCCAATTGCTTTAGCTTTCCCTATATACCTCTTCATGCTTTTTGCTCTTAGCGCTTTTTTCACAACATTAAGTTATGTTTAAGGGACGTTTCGTTTTTAAGTCCACTGTAAATACAGGTTCAGGATTACCAACCACTTCCATATTTCTATACCCTACATGGACTTACTTAAGTATCGTACTATGAATAGCAAATGGCTTAGAGCCAGTCAGAGCTCCCTCTTCGGGAGACTCGGGGTTCTTTTATCACCTTGAATATTTTGAAAGTATTACTTTTTTTTAGACATTTCTAGATACTATTAAACCGAACGCTATTTTCAAAACAGCTTAAAACTAATACGAGAGCTTTCCAAGAGGCAGATGAGAAGCCCACTTAATATCTGATCAAAGACACAGTTTGGAATGTTTGGTTGGTTTCTGAAGAGCACAGATTTTATGGCGAAAAATATTACTGAGGCGAGATACTTTCGTTTTTGAACTAGTGATTTCTTTGACAGTAATTCACATTTACATAAAACTTTATAACAGACTATATTAAGCTTGTCATTAGATACTATAAGCACTTCTTTCAAAACTTAACTACTATTTAAGTTTTTTGATTCTGATGAATTGTTTCTTTTATGTACAAACATATCTTAATTAATACGCGCCACATATCCTGAAATCCATTGAGTTTTCGGTCAATTGAATATTGGTCATATGTAATGCCCTAAGATATCGATCGTATTAGGATGAGTTGATAGAGAAAAACAAATCCTAAACTCCCTAGAACTGAAATAAGCATTTCGTGTTAGTAAACATTTACTTGATTTATGGTGAAATAAAAGGATGGCGCCAGGATTAAGGAAACATTAGCGGCAAAGGATTACGGAATATCAAGTTTACGTGGATAAAAAAAGTATTTTTTGCGCCATTGGTCTGCAAAGCAACGATTATAAATGTGCATATTTCTTAAACGATATGGAGTGGCCATTGGCAATAAACATGACAGGTCATATTTCTGACCGTAAATATCTGCATGACACATTTTAACTGTATGGCGATGTGGATTTTATATTAATGCCATATTTCATAAGATTTACACAGAAATAAGATCAGATATATTGCCCGAGCCCCAAGCTGTTGTATTCTGAAATTTCAATGGATACTTTAAAATGTGTGATTTTAACCAAATTTCTTCAGAATTTTGTATGTATGTACACATTTTCCAATTACTTTGGAGTAACGATTCGATTATCATAAACATATCCAAAGCATGAATTGTTCACCACTTGAGTTAATGATTACTTCCATTTATTTGATGGCTTTATAATTTTAGACCTGAAAGTGTTTATAAATATTTCTTCGCTTTTAGTTTTTTTAATTCTTTTCTTGTTTTAAGTTAATTTTAATGGGCAAGTCACTGAAAATAATCTGGATTACTTTCCATACGGATGTAGAGATTTTAGTGTTGCTTTTCATATATTAAATCATATTATCATTAGTTGCTTTGGCAACCAGATCCGCAACAACACTTGCGATGAATATTATAACAAATGGTATGCTATTTTAAAAATTTCAACAGCCGCAGCTGCTGCTTTAATGAATCTTGCGTGAGTTTATCAGACAGCGGATAACGAGTACACTTTCTTCCTTCTCTTGTTTAGTGGTGTTCAATAAGGTTTTTCTTTTGTGTTTCTACGTTTTGCCACTTTTTCATTTCAGAGCTCATATAAGATTCTTAAACACCAGTATCATTAATTTGATTCTGCGTTAATCACCGTTTATTACGTGCTTTCAGCAGTGTGAGCGATAACAGTTTCTTATTGCGTACCTACATCATATTTTACTCAAGCCAGAGTTCTCACAGTTGCTTATCGTTTGAGTGATGAAAGAAGAAACAGAGGCTGGCTTAAACATATATGAATACAATTATACATTAATTAATTATTGTACTCGCACCTGTGCAACTCATGTAATTAATCATATTGCTGTTCTACAATTTGTGAGTTATTTGACGATTGTCTCTTTAAAATGTTTCCAAAACTCTGCACATGAGGGTTTGTTTGAGTTTGACTATACAGTTTTGGGCACGGAGCAGAAATAAATCGCAATTAACGTAACGCTAAAACTATTTTGTGCGTCTTGACTAAAATCCCATTTGCACGGTGAGAGCAGAATATCCAAGAAGGTACGAAAGTTGATGATCGTAAATATTTTTTGGATCATCTGTATAAATAAGTTCAGTATAAAAACACATTTGCAAACAAAAATTGACGAGTCCCTGCGTTTTTCCAACAAAAAAAACTTTTTAAACTTTAAAACTTTTCTTTTGGGACTTACTGCATACATAGATATACACACTGGTAAACTCCATTGCCTAACATTAACCAACCAGTGGCGCATAGAGCATTCTCTCTGTAGATTAGTGCAACTGGGGGGTCGTAATGAAGGGTCCGGACAAACAGTCCCACCCCTTAGCCAGGAGTGAACCACCACCCTTTTTCAACCAAGCGAGCTTTCGCTAACTGTCCAATTATGAAGTGATCACTTATAACATGCGAATTGGTTTTACATCACTGAATTGCCATTGACACTTTTTTTACGTGCACACTACTGATCGTTGTGAGCTTTTAATTGGGTCGGAATTTTGCGGTTAAGAGTATCAATTACTTAGCTTTTTAATCGTAAACCTATTTTTACTCAAATTACAGTTTTACTGTGTTATAACTGAAATCGAAAAATTAATGGACATTTTAGAAGAAAAAGACCTACATGGAAGTGACAGTCTGTAGATTTATTCACCAGGGTTATTCAACTGGGAATGTTGTAGTGTACTCTTCCGCTCTGATGAGTCTTGTTGACTTTTTATCAAAAATTCTCAAAAGTGGCCTAGAATTATATTCTGTGCAAATATAGTTCTTATATAACCTTATATTATAGAGTTTGGCTTGTAGAAACTTTAGCTTGAACATAATTTTACTTGTTTAATCGGTCGTTGCGCCGATGCCATTCTAGCTACTCAAATTCGATTATTTACTCAAAAAACTCAAACAGAACTTAGTGAAAATCCTAAATGGAGCGGTTTGCATTAAAAATATTTGTAGCCTGGAGTTTATTAAATAATTGGCTTTTTTCTTATACATTTTGCACCAATTAATTTTTATTAACTGATGAACAAAAAATTGGCATACATTTTA